TGTCCCCAATGTCCCCGTGTCCCCGCAGTGTCGCTCCTGCGGGACCTCAAGCACGCCAACGTGGTGACGCTGCACGACATCGTGCACACGCCGCAGTGCCTGACGCTGGTCTTCGAGTACCTGGTGAGCCCCAAATCCCCCCAGATTCACCCCAAAATTCACCCCAACGGCGCCCCCAAATCTCCCCTGAATCACCCCAAAATTCACAACAAAATAAGCCCTAAATCATTCCAAAATTCACCCCAAATCCCCGCAAATCCCCCCAAATTTGCCACAAAATTACCCCCAAATCCACCCCAAAATCTCCCCTAAATCACCCCAAAATTAAACCCAAAATCTCCCCTAAATCACCCCAAAATTCAACCCAAAATCTCCCCTAAATCACCCCAAAATTCAACCCAAAATCTCCCCTAAATCACCCCAAAATTAAACCCAAAATTCCCCCAAGCCCATGCAAGTCCTCCAAAATTCACTCCCAAATTACCCCTAAATCACCCCAAAATTCACCCCAAATCCCTGCAAATCCCCCAGATTTCACCCCCAAATTACCCCTAAATCACCCCAAATTCACCCCTAAATCCACCCCAAAATTCACCCAAATTTACCCCAAAATCCACCCCAAAATCACCCTGAAATTCACCCCCAAATCACTCCAAAATCCACCCAAATTCACTCCAAAATTTACCCCAAAATCTCCCCTAAATCACCCCAAATTCACCCAAATTTACTCCAAAATCCACCCCAAAATCCACCCCAAACCATCCCAAAATCCCCCTAAAATCACCTCAAATTCACCCCAAAATTCATCTTGAACTCCCCCCAGAACCACCCCAAAAATCCACCCGAATTCACCCCAAAATCACCCTGAAATTCACCCCAAAATTCCCTCTGGAGACTCTCAAACCCCCCCAGGGTGCCCCAAAATCCCCCAAAATTTGGGATTTTCTGCTTTTTCCCCCAGGACCGGGACCTCAAGCAGTACCTGGATGATTGTGGGAACGTCATCAGCATGCACAACGTCAGGGTGAGGGGTTGGGGG